GTATTTTGAGCTGGAAGCTGCCTTTTGGTGACTCCCTCTGGCCTGGGCCTGGCCTCAGGATGCCCCAAGTCTATGCTCCTCAAAGCAAAAGACACAAAAATGCTGTTGTTCTCTGCCTGCCACCTGGGCAGCACTTAGGAATGACAGAGGAAAAGATGGAGAGAGGGATGGAAGACGAGAGGCATGAAAAGAGGGAGGAATAAGTGGAGGGAGGTGTGAAGGGAAGGATAGAGGGAGGGGTGGAGGGAGGAAGGGATGGAGGGACAGACGGAATAATGGATGGAGGGGTGGCGGCGGGGAGAGATGGATGCAGGGAAGGGTGGAGGGAGGAAGGGACAGACGGAGGGCCGAAGGGATGAAGGGAGTGGGGATGGAGGGGCAGGTGGAAACATGTGAGGGTGCAGGAAGCTCCTGAGTAAGGCCTCTGGTTCCCTGTAGTGCCTGCAGGCGGAGTGCATGCACCTCACATCAGGAAGAGGCCTTTTCTTCCTGAAGGGCGCAGGGGTTGGGGTGGCATTGCTGGGTTGGGGAGGGGCAACAGAAGGGGGAAGGAAGGCACCTACATAGAGAAGTTGGTGATGAAGGCCTTCTTGGGCAGCTCCATCTGGAAGATGGCCTCCTGCGCACTGTCAGCTCTGTTGACCACCCTGCTGGTGACGACCGTGCGCGCAAATCGGGAGGAGACCTTGGAGTCCACAGTGAGGCTGTAGATGTCGATGTCATTCTGGACCAGTGGAGGAGGAAGGGTGGGACGGCTTCAATGCCAGCCCAGCCTAGGGCAGCAGTACTCTTCGAGAGTGGGCCCTAGCCCCCAATGCTGACTGAGCAACTGATCAGATCTCAGGCTAAGCCTCCTGGGGCATTTCATATGTGAACCTTCCTCTCAAATAAGAGGCAGCTGTGTGCTTCACTCCCCACCCTACAGCGCCACGCGGCAGGGGCCGGTCTGTCAACACGCAGCAGGCGGCTGAGCCCGAGCCGCAGTGAGTCTGGGAGGAGACTCTCACTTAGCCTGGCACTGGTGGAATCAGGAAGCTGATGGTCTTAGCTCTGCCCACAGAAAGGGCAGCAAATAAAGTCCCTTGATTTTTGGCTACCTTGGCCTCCACGGAAATTGAGGAAAACAGCTCCTGCCAGTCTCCCATGAGGGGCCTACAGGAGCTGGGAGAATCTGGAGGTATTGAGGGTCCAGTCTCTAAGAGCTGGGAATCTTTTTGCCCACTTTCCCTGTAGCCCCAGACCCTCCCCTGTGGACCCACCTATCCCACAGGTCGCTGACCCAGGCACATGTTCTTTGATCCGGGTCTAAGGTTCCCATGCGCACACACGAGGAGCCTCACGCACCTCCTGCCTGCCTGCACGTGGCACCCTTGTGTCCTCGCCAGCCCTGTCTGCCTACACACGTAGCTTAGCACAGAGGGGGGTGACCGGCCGAGTGGCTCGTATACACGTACGAGTGTCTCTCGGTGCCAGGCACTGCACTTGACAGTGTCACAGGTTTCTTTTTCCCAACAACTCTCCCAATAGATCCTCTTATTGCCCTGTTGCACAGACGAGGAAGGTCAGACAGAGGAAGCACAACTTCACTGAGGTCGTCCTGCCAGGCAGAAGTAAGGCCTGCTCTCACCTACCCCACCCCACCCCACCCACTGCCGGCCTCCAGGGGCAATTGCTGTGCTGCCATTCCTCACCTGGAACACGGAACTAGGACCACCCCTTCTACGGAATGGCAGAGTGTCCACCAAGCCCTTGGGGGGGTGCCTGCTGGATGGTCAGCGCCACTTCCTTCACACACACTCTGGCTGGGCTCCCTTGTGCTGACTCTCTCACACACACAGGCTCTCCTGCACCGCACCCACGCTCCAGCTCACATCACTCATACTCAGGTGCACATGCAGGTGCCTGTGGCCCCCACTACCTTCTGGGCAGAGGTGGTCTGGAGGGCAGCCAGCAGCGAGAGCAGGACCAGCACGATGCCACAGGCATGGGCAGAGGCTGGAGTCTTCATTTTGGCTCGAGTCTTCATTTTGGCTCCAGTGCCTGGCAGGCTGCTTCTGAACCGGAGAGAAAGTGGGGAATGAATTAGTAACTTGCTTGCTGCTCCGCCCCTTTGGGGGCAGGTTCTGGGAAATCGGGATCTACAAGCCAAAACTTGCAGTGGCCTCAGATAAGCAGGCAAACTGCAAATGTCCTGTGGACCTTGGCTGGGGACAGGAACACGTACAGTAAGTCCTCAGTGTCATCATCGATAAGTTCTTGGAAACTGCAGTTTTACGTGAAAGGATGTATATCTTACCTAAGGCTAACTGATATAAATGAATTCAGTTCCTACAGCGTATTGCTGGTCCAAAAACATTGCCAAACTTCCAAGTAAAACCCCCAACACCTCTAATATTAAATACTGAAATAAATATGAGCTATACATATATTTAAGAAAGATGATTAAAAAAAAACAAGTAAGATCATGCTTTTCCAACCTGCTTGTTCAGGGTTGCAGGTGGCCAAAGCCTCTCCTGGCAGCTCAGGGCATGAGGTGGGACCCCAACCTGGACAGCATAGCCTTCCGTGGAAGGTCGCACTCACACACACCCACACTAGACTGCGACAATGCGGACATGCCAGTTCACCTTGCACACACACCTTCGGGACGTGGGAGGGACGGAAGGACCCAGAGAAAACCTGCGAAGACATGGGGAGGAAGTGCAAATTTCACACAGTGGCCCCAGCAGGGAGTTAATTTCTTCCCTTATCAACACTATAACCAAAGGAGGTTGAACTAAACGACATTATTTGAGGACCTGCTATATGGGGGAAAGGCAGGCTCAGGTGGGAATGGGTACCGGCATCCCATCTCGAAGTTCTAGAAACTTCACAGGTCACTACCACCCCACACCAGTTCTTCCACCCACAAGCTCCGTTGGGCTGGGGGTACAACAGTGAGCCAGCCCATGCTCCGTAAGTCCAACTTGGGGGGAACAGAGGGATGGCTGGGAAGAGGGTGGGGGCAGCTTCCCGGAGGAAGGAGCCTTCGGGGTCGGGTCAGTGTGCCTGCGCGGTGGGGCCCTGAAGCACGGAGCGCCCCCTGGGGTGTCCGAGTGGGGGGGATCTGCTGGGCCCCGGGCAGGGCGGGTCTGCCTATTTCTGGGGTGAGAGCAGCTGGGCCCAGGAGACCCCTTTCCTCTCCTGGCCTCCCAGACTACTGTTCAGGCCCCATTAATCTGGCCAGGGCTCTCGGTTCAATTCCAGCAAGGCCCCCAGCACGAGACCTCACTTTGGCCATACAAACCGAGAGCCACCAAGATGCCTGCACCTCGTGGCCCAGCACCCTCCCTCGGGGGAGTGTACTGACAGGAACGTGTGGAACAGAAGAGAAAGGACAGAGCTCCTAAAGGGGGCGATTCTGTGTGGTGGCGTGCACGCTCGGGCAGCCTGCGTGGAGGCCGGTCATGTCAAGGGGGGACGACGAATCACGGCTCGTGTGAGAAAGGGTGGACTGCCCATCTGTCAGCACACCGAGGCAGTGCCCTTGTCATGAGCCCGGACCCACAGTCGGGGTGGCCCCAGGGCCGGGGGCAGGATTACCGATGACTTTGTTCAGTTTTCCTTTAATAAAGTTGAAATGCTTTTAAAACAAACAGCAATAAAGTGAGTAAATAACGGGATCCAGACACAGCTGGTGTTTTGTCCCTGGTGGCTCTGGAGAAGCCTGGCTCCTGCATCGGTGCACAGTGGGATGAAGATGCTTCAGAAGCGTGGCCAGGTGCCACACCCTGGGCTGGGGAAGGAGGACTCCCTGACAGCAGCTCTGGGGGCACAAGCAGCCATCTTGGGGGCCTGCACAGCACCCTGGGCGGTGACTGGCTTGCAGAGGGCTGGGAAGGGGTCTCCTCCTAGGTCAATGGTAGCAGCGTCTGGCCCCAGGAAGAGGGCATCACAGACTTTGGAGCTGCCTGTGGCTGCAACACAAGTTCCCCTCCCTTCTCATAACCACAGCCAGAAGCCTCACCACTGTGTGTAGCCCTGCTGCTCGCCCTTTGGCTCTGGTATATGATTGGGATTTGCACAGGGGCATGTAGCCCTTCAGCATTCTGGGGAAAGAGCCTCCCCAAGGAGCCCAGGAGCAGGCCCGGGCCCTGTGCCCACAGAAGGCCTGCTCCCTTGGGGCAAGGAACACAGGCCCAGCCCGTAAACAGCTGCAAAAGGAGACAAGCCTGGCCTGGAACGTGGGAAAGGCTCCGAGCAGGCGGGTCCACCTGTCCAGGAGACAGGCAGGGCTTCCCTGCAGGCACAGCCCTGAGCCAGGCACTGGGAACCCAGGCCCTGGCAACCTGGCCCTGGACTGTCTGTGGTCTTGCTGTCACAGCTGGACAGGCCTCTGGAGTCCCCTGAATCTGACAGCTCCGTGCACACAGGGGACACTGGCCTAAAGAGTGAAGGATCTCATACGAGCCCAGAACCTAGTGTTCCCACAGCTGTGCCGGAGCTGTGGGAGTGGCATAGGGGAATCACCCTGAGTTTTTTGGGGGGCATAGCTCAGGAAGCAGACTGCCAGTGGCCACTGAGCCTTGACATGGCTGTCTTTGAGGGATGCAAGATGGCAAGGCAGCAGTACATGAGTGCAGGGGGAGTGGACCATGAGGGCCCCGGCTCCTTAGAAGCATCTCCCTGGCTTCTGCCGCAGACCCTCCCCCTGCCATGCTTCCCTCTGAGCAGCATCACCGTGGCCTGTTTTATGCAACAGGCTCCAGCTCAACACTGTTCCACACAAGGGGAAACTGAGCCTCGGAAAAGGAGAGGTGGTCCGAAGTCACACAGCTCAGCACCAGATCTCTACTTCCATGGTTCTAGTATGTAGCAGAGGCCATAATGGCACCTCATTACCCTCTAGGACCACTCCCCCCCAGAGACATGGAGGGTAGAGAACATGCCCACACCCCACACTGCTGCCCCCTCTCCTGCACTCCAGGGCCGTGGCCAGTGACCAGCCAACACCCTCCAAATGCTGATGCCCACTTAGGCATCTTCTTTATTGGTGTTTTGCAGATGCTGGTGGGAGTCCCTGGGCCCAGGGGCCAGGGCTGTGGGGGAGGGGTGGCAGTCCCAGAGGCAGCTGGGGAGCGAGTGAGTTCTGGCATAAACAAGATCTTGGGGAGACTCCTGTGTTCAGGTGCTGGCAGTGCCGGGGGACTGGTGTGCTCCTCTCAGCCGAAGACACTCTTGGCGGGTCCAGCTTTGGGCTTCTCAAAGACGGTCTCAGTGCCAGTCCGGGAGCGGCTGAACACTGATGGGGCAGCCGCGCCAGCTTGCTCTGCAGGGAGGATGGGACAGGGTGTGCTCAGGGGCCCAGCCCAGCTTCCTCAGGAAGGAAGGTCCCTTTTCTGGGGAGCAACCCCTGAGCCCAGAAGCTCTGGACTCTTAGAAAGGACCCATAGAATCCCCATCCTCCCTACCACTGCTGACACACATCTGCACCCCCAACCCCCAGCTCCCCCCTGCCCCCAGCACCCTGAGAACACTCACCACACTCCCGCATGACCTGGTAGGTCTTGGACTTGATCGCCTGGTCCTTGGCCAGGTTCCCCCGGGCCCCCTTCAGGTCCTCCTCCTTCACGGGGGGGCGCTTCTTCTTGATGGGGGCTTCCTGAGGGCCAGCCTTGGAGAGCCCAGAACTTCGTCTTACAACCCAAGGCCTTCGGGCTGAGACACCCCCTTTCCCACCTCTGTGCCTCAGCCCTGAGACCCCTCTTCCCTGCTCACTGAACTCAAGCCACTTCAAGGCCCCCTTCTTCCTGGAAGCCTCCCTGACTGTACATCACCCCGTGACCCCTCACCCGAGTCTCTCTGACCTTTCCAGACTGGGAACTGTGACACTGTGGCTGCTGTGGCTTCACTCTGCCTGCCTGGACACGCTCAAGCTTGGGCACAATGGGCAAAGCGGAAAGGGAGCAGCCTTGAGGCTGAATTACAAGGCTTTTGGTGAATACCAAGACCCGTTCTCTGGGTGGTGGCGGGGGTCCCTTAGGTATTTCTGCTCTCCTCCCAAATTGCCAGGATTTACCTTGTGTGCTTTGGGGTGGAATGTGGTAGAGGAATCAGATGCTCATGAAGGCACAGTCCCAAGTCAGCATCTGCCCATGGAGCAGGCAGTAAGGACAACCCTCTCCTTAGTGGGCTGGTCTCCGTCCCTCCAGAGCTGGGTTACCTGGACTCAGGGTCTACTCTCCCCCTTAACCCCAGGTGCCTGGGAGTCAGGCCTTATTGCTTCCTAAGCCCTAGGGGCAGGGGCAAAGGCTCCCTGGTCCCTGAGCCTAGGCTGGGCCCCTGGGCCACATACCCCTGCACAGAGACACATCCTGCTGGAGACCCGGGGCATAGAGCTGTATACTTCACACATGCACACACACACAGCTACAAATGCACACACCAAGTCATGCAGGCAGCCCCCTCACACATAAAGGCACACGCAGATATCCTGAAGCACACACAGCTCCTCCAGCCCTGCTGACCAGCCGTGGGCTGCCACCAAACCCAAGCTACACACAGGTCTCTCGGGGTAAGCTGGGTGGGGGCCCTCCCCGCCGAGCCCTCTGTTTATGCTTGGAACTCTGCTCGAGACACAGCTGCCAGAGATGGTAGTGTCCAGCTATCCACCCACCCCCAACCCCCAACCCGTGCTGGGCCCCCTACCTGGGACATGGTGGGTGCTATGGGAGAGCTGCTCCAAAGGCACTGGTGGGAGATCTGAGCGGCGTCCAACCCTCTGGAGCTTATATAGCCCGCTTGCCAGTCCTGGGAAGTCACTCCCCCTGCTCCGACAGGCTTCCTTATGATTCAGGTCCACACAGCCACTGGCTTCAGCGTTTATTCTCGGAGATGTTAGGGGCTCGCTGAGCACTTCTGCCCAGGAGGCTGCAGTGCTGGTGACACAGACAGCTGCTCTACTTTCAAGTGGGAGGTGCTGGGACTGGCAGTGACTTGTGTGTTTATGAATGTAGGTCCTGGAATGTGTGTGTGGCAGTAGAAGCTGTCCATCTGCGACAGTCCATCCCAGTGTGGGGGTGTCCCTGAGGAAGGAAGGGCCCAGGGCCAGGATGAACCACATTGAACTTGTTTTTCTCTTCTACCCCTTCCCAGGGTTCCAGAGGAAAGACGCTTTCCATCCCACCCGTGAGCAGGGCGGGAACTTCCTGTGTCTGCCTCTCTCGAGCTTTGCTCGCTGCGAGCTCCCTGGGCCCTCATGGTGGGCTCAGAGCACAGGGTGCCCCTGGTTCACAGGTGGAGAAACTGCAGCCAAGGGAAGCCTGGGGCGCTCCCCATCCCTGGTTGGATGCTGGTGCCACCGCCCTTTGTCTCCCTCCCAGTGCACGTTTAGCAAAGGGATGAAGAAGGCAGGGGGGTAAAGTGCCCAGGAAGGGCCAGGAGGAAACTGTGCTTTGTGTAAAGGTGAGCTGATTACAGGAAACAGCACTGAACCTCTAAGATAAGGTCGCCAGGCCTGAGGACACTTAGGGTGCTGAAAGGGCGGGGGAGAAAGTCAAGCCCCTTGCAGGTATTGAGCTGTAGAGAGAGGGACAGGCCCAAGGACTCCCTTGAAGGTCACCTAGTTCTCCACTGCTGGCTCCTAAAACCCCTGTCCTTGCAGGGAAGACCCGCAGCAGGACCTTAAGCCTGGGGTGGGGGTGGGCAGTACATGTGAGATTATCTTTGTCCTCGAGGGCTCCATGCAGACGGAATCCAACCAGGGCACTGACATCTGGTTATCCCGAAAGCTACTCCACTGCTGTCACACCTCAAACCCCACCTGAATGCCTCCCTTCCTGGTCCTAACCCCAGGAGGCCAATGCGAAGACTGCCAGGCTCCGTCTGAGACAAGTGCTGACATGAGGAATGTTCTCCAATGGCCTTGGGCATAAACCCAGGACTCCGACCAGGGGCCAAGAGGCACTGAGGGCAGGCCTGGACTGGGAGGGCCCAGCTCCCGGGATGAAGCCTTCAGCACTGCCCCCACAGCTGGCTCTGCCCCCACAGCGGGCTCTGCCCAGGGAGGCTCCTGCCTTCTTGCCCTGTGGCCTCAGGGACAAGGATGTATGATGCTTCCGTCTCACACTCCATCTCCCAGCACTACTTGCTCCCCAGGGGTCGTAGAATAGCTTTTACTCACATCAGCAGGAAAGTGGAAATGGTAAAGCGTATTTGTTTTTTTCTCAGCAGCCTTTGGTTCCCACATCTGCTAGGAGGCAATGTAAGGTTCATTTTCGCTCTGTTTCCTAGGGACCACCTTCCAACCCACTGGGGAAATTTTCTTGACACCACTAAGCTGTTTTGACTCCAAAGAACACACACCAACAAGCACAAAAGTGATAGCTTTTTTTAAAAAGCTGTAATAAGATGTCAAAGTTTATTGTAAACCATTTTACAGTGTAAGTACATTGTCTTCCCTTTCATTTCAAAAATGTGTTTCTGTGAATCATACCACCACCAATTCAACACCCCCCAGGCAGACAGTGGAAGTAGACCGTGGTTTTTGCTCACATACATCTGACTTTTAATAAACTTCATGAAAAGAGAAATCAAATTAAATCAACCCACCCACCCAGCATGTCAAGGTACCGACGACACTTGGACCAGAAGTCCCTCACCGAGGACAAAGCCCTTCAGGGAGCCAAGGTTTCCCAGGGTAGAACAGAGAGCTCTCCCCGCAGGTGGAAGTGAGGGAAACTTCTAAAAAGCCAGCCCTACACACCTTACAAAGGGGCTGCTCTGGAGGATGGGAAGCTCCCAGCATCAGCACACTGGCCTGGCTGCAGAATGGCCAGCGGTCTGCTGTGAGTGGGCAGAGTGGGCTGCAGTCCCAGGGCACCTTTAGTCAGGGACGCTGGACAGCAGCCTAAGTCCTATAGGGGCAGACACACTGTGGATCGGAGCCTTTCTGTGTCTTCCCTTCAGAGGCGCGACATGTCAACACTAACCCAGGACTCCCATTGCCAGGAAGGGGCACAAGTTAAAGCCTGAGGCAGGAGCCCGCCAGTGTGCCCGAGGGCTTTACCTCACGGGCCTTCCAGCTGAGTGGACCAAGAAGCCACTGCTACCCGGGATCCCACCAGCATCCCTCCTCACCACTGTCCACATCTCACTGACAGCAGAGGGAAGAAGAGCCGCAATCATCTCTTCTACTCAGTTATGACAGTTCTGCCTCTTCAGGTTATTTCCATTAGTTACAAGAAATTTATTCATGACCTTGACTTACAAGTTTCTACCATGGGTGGCTTAGCCAAGGTTCAGATTCTGACAAACGAGATGGACAGTGAACAATATCGTCGGTGTCCTATGGTTTCTCAAGCACAGTGATGCTTGCCACGTGGCTGAGCAAGGAGCTGCACCTCGTAAGGCACCTTGGAGCAGGTGGTGTGGAAGTTCACCCAGGGAAGAAAGGCAGCTCCGGAGAAGTCCTGACAGGCCCCCTGCATCCGCCGCATCTGGGCAGAGTGCCACAAAGAAGACCCAGCGGCACAGGACACACTCCCAGGGAATGCAAACTCTGTGCTGTGTGTGTGCATGTGCGTGGGTGTATGAACTCAGGAGGAGGACAAGGCCAAACTCGGGAGGCCACCCTGTCCAGCCCCACAGAGCACAGGCCCTCGGTGGGCAGACACCGTCCCCTAGTTAGCCAGTTGCACAGCCACAGTTCAGAGACTACAGCCCTTACTGAACATCAGGACACAGGGGGAAACCACCACTCACTCACAACTTCTTTGTCCACTAAACCCACTTCCCAGCAGGTACTGGGACAAGCCTTGAGGTGAGCAGATCACCTGAGGTCCATGTAACCCAGGTTCCCTATTTCACAGACTAATACTCCCCTACCCCATCTGCACTGTGGAAACATCAGGGGCTCGAGACCGGAAATGAAGCTCCGATTCTGAGCTCAGGAAGGTTCAAAAAACAGCTGTGGGCACAGGTTGTTCAAATCAAAATGAAATCGGAGTGACAAGGAGAGTCAGCCAGGCCACAAGGGACTGGTCTTCCCAATGCCACTTCTCTAGCAGAGACACCCACTGACACAGCCAGAGCATGGGAGTGGGGGGAGTGGAGGTGAGGTGAGAAAGGAGACGGACTCCAATCTCACACGAGGCACCACCCGGCCTCGCCTCTTCTCTCCAGCCACAGACGCTCACCCGGCGGTCACCTCCCACCACAGTTACAGGGTCCGGCTCGTCTCAGCCCCTCTGGCTTGTGGACTCCTAGAGAGGATGGACAGAGAAGGCCTCCCTAAGGCTGACCCCCCATGTCCCAGATGCGTGACAGGCAGAGGCCAGGCCCAGCATGCCTGGGTGAGCAGCTTGGCTCAATGCCACAATTCAGACCCAGTCTTCTTAAGTGAAACACGTTTTATGTAGGTTTAAAAATAAGGTTCCGAGTGGTGTGGCCTCCCCACCCATCTCCTTAGCAGCTCACACTCGGCAGTGCGGACTTCTGTGCCTCCGGCTGTGACGGCACTGGGTGCTCCACCGTGCCGTGTCCGCAGCAGTCCAGTGCCCAGTCAGCCCACTCTCTGCCCGTTGGCCGACTCCCACAGCCACAGGGTCTGTGCCCAGGCTGAATGGGGGCCTCTCCCAAGGAAGGGACACAGCTTAGAAGCACCTCGTCCTGGCTGTGGATGCAGCCAGACCACAGCCCTGGAGTACGTGACAAACAGGACGATTTGGTCAGGCAGGTGTTCTCCAGACTCTTGTGCAAAATAAAGGTGGAGGAGATAACAGGCCCGGGGCAGCCTGACCTGGAGCTGGGTCAGGAAGCCGGCTCTGAAGGCTGCACAGTGGGAGGCAGGAAGGCTGAGACGACATTTCAAACTGCAGACATGGGGGCTCTGACGACAGGCAGGGAACAAACACAAGTGGCCTCACAGTCGCAACTTCTCTAGACAGAAAGACCTCTTAGATGCTTTTCTTTGTCCCCTTGAACGAGGCCCTCTGCCCAGCCAGCAGAAACGCCAAGGAGAGGCTGGGCCCTGGCGTGCACGCAATGCTGGGTCTGAGTTTGACCCTTCCCCCCACCCAGGCCTGACCTTCACTGCACAGGGCGCTGACTTCAGGTGAGGGCCCATCTGCCTTCCTGCTGGGCTCACTGCCTCATCTTATCGTAGGCTACCTAACAATGCGCCAAATGAGGAGCTCTCGGCTCCCCCCCACCCAACCAGTTCACATCCCACGAAAGGCAAACAAACCCATTTCTTTGGGAATTAAAAAGTTTTTAAATACAATAGTATGAAAATATAACTTAAAAATATAAAAGTCAACAGCATACGGAAGACTTAAAAATCTATGTTTTGCCCATTAGTCCCATAGGAAATAAACACATACTCAAAAAACATTAACACTGACAGCTCATAAAACCGACTTTAGAAATAATAGTTATAAAAGCCACTTCAAGTAAGAAAGCATTGTGGTTCCAACTTCGTCAGTGAGTGACTTTTAGCCCAAAACATGTTTCGTCTTCACTCCCCAAGCCTCCGGGGAAGGCTCTTTGCACAATCTGTGTGTGTGTGTGTGTGTTTCTCCTCAGTGCCACCCTGCCAGACACAGGACAGGGCTTGTGGGTCCCTCACAACACCGTCAGGACGACGACACACACACGAAACGCCCTGCTTGCATATTTGGTCAGTGTTTGTAGTGCAACTGAGTGGACACCTCCAACCGCCGCGGCCCTGACGCCGGCTCTCCCACCCTCTCTCCAGTCACAGTCGTTTGGGAGTGGGCGGAGACAGCGAGAGCAAGGAGGTAGAAGAAGGGGGCAGAGAGGAGGGAGGAATGACCCTGCAGAGGGACCACCGTCTGCCGCTGTCAGCAGGCCGGGCCCCAGGCCTGACCGCAGCGCAGGAACGTGTCATACGGGCAGCCCGAAGCGGTGCTTCTTCTTCTTCGCAGGCTTCAGGGGGGTCAGCCGGCGGAGGTCCTCCTCCGTGTCGGACTCCTCCATCTCGTCATCAGCTGAGATCAGGATCTGAGGCAGCGGAGAGGCATGTCCCTGAGTCACCACCGGTGGTGCCACCTTCCTCTGCCCTCCCTGGACCCTGGCACACGGGTGCCAGTCCCTCCACGAGGCCTCGGTCTCATGTTTCTGTAGAAGAGCTTGACGGGGAGCCGCCCTTCACAGAAAGACACGCTGGCCCCTCCAGATCCCATCCAGGGCTATGGAAACCTGCACTGAGTCCACACACCCTGCCCCTGCTGGTGCTCCCTGCTGCTCTACCCAACCTCCAGCTGGGGCCGACCCAGTCACAGCAAACTCAGCAGGCACTTGCAGCCCAGTCTTGACAGACGGAGGCCCAGGCCCTGGAGGCTGCCTCAAATTCAGCAACTGCAAAGTGGAAAGCCCCTTTCAAAAGGAAAAGAACACATCTGTGGGGTGCTCTGCCTCTGTGGGCCCCTGAAGGACTGGGCCCTGCAGTCGGGGCACCGGGGCACCCCCACTCATTCACCACCCACCTGCCTGGCCCCTCAGACCTCTGTGCACCAGGGGAGCAGGGGCGGCTGCAGGGATGGAGAGTCCCTGTGCACCCCTGCGTGTGGGGCCCCTTCTAAATCCAGGCCGGGCCAGTCTCACCACCTCTCCCTGGGCCACTCCCTTACAGCGTTTCCTGCCTCGGGCCTCGGCCCCCCAACCGACCCTCTCTGCGGCTCCCCGCCACCTGCACAGGCATGCCCAGTCCCTCGGCATGGATCACAGAGCACCTGGCCCACCTAGCTCAGGCCTTCGCCCCCTGCTTATTTTTTGTTATTCTATCCTGTCTTCTGGAACACATGCTGCTCTGGACACAACGAATTTTACGTTATTGCCCGAGCCCCAAATCACATGACCATGATTGATCCGGAGCAGCTGCTTCTGCCTGTGACACTGTCATTCACCTCGTGTTCACTGAGCTCTTAGAACACGCCTGGCCCCAGGCCAGGTTCTAGGGCCTACTCTGTGCTACCACCTATTCATTCAGCTTTCCAAACGCCCTCCGGGCGCTCCAGGAGAGAAACAGACAGCCCCCGTGTCCTCGCAGGGTTCCGCTGAGGCCTGTCTCAGAACACAGAGTTACGAGGAGCTGCTCAGGCGTCACCTTCTCCTCGTGCACAGGTACGGAGGCCTCTTGGGGAGACACTCCCTCAGCCATCCTGAAGGCCCCCCACAGCGAACTGGTCAGCAACCATGGAAGCTGACCAAGGACACTGTGGGGCAGCACGGAAGTGCGGCATGGTGCCGGCTGCCCAGGACACGCAGCCTGGCCTCACGCTCCTGTTTACGACCAGGAGCCTCCCTTCAGTGCAAACCTTTAAGGCAAGAAACTTGAAAATAAGAGCAGATGAGGTTCCCCCCAGGACATCTGGCTACCCCTACATTTCAGAAGTTTCCAGCTGCCTCAGCCAACACTTCCCTTGCTCATCAGTGGTGGGCAGGGATTCAAACACCTTGATACTTAAAGGTCAATGGTCGGGCCCAGACTCGGCCCAGTCAACGGCCGAGTCCTTGCCAGCTTCCCTGGAACACGGCCACTCCTCCTTTCCTGTCTCCCCCCACCGGTTTAGGGGATATGGCAGGAAGCCCTCGGGGACAGCAGGGATGGGTCTGGTCTGGCTGGGAACTGCCAGCCTTGTGTCCCTGCCCCTGGCTGGCGGGAGACACGAGACCAGAGGAGTCCTCAGGTCAACAGCACGGGGGCCGGCCCTACCTCAGACTCCGACTCCTCGTGGGATGCGGCCCTTCGGTAGCGGACCTTGCTCCCATTCCTCGAGTCTTGGTTGGCTCTCCTTTCTTCCAGTTTAGCTTTCGTCCTCCCCTTTCTCATGAGGAAATTGTCCACCACCCAAAACATCAGAGCCTGTGGGGAGGAAAAGTGCAGATTACTCTGGGATAGGCCCCTTACGGAAGCATGTGGAGTGGTCCCGAGGCCCCCATCCCTCCCACGCCTTCCAGATTGCAACACCTGAAATAGGGAAGGAAAAACTGTGCCCAGTCCCCCTGCCATCTCTTCAGAAAAGAGATTCCTAACCTCTATTTCCTTTGCTTTCTTATCAGGGAAAATCCTGCCCTATTTACCCCAAGGATTTCATGGTGGTGACTGACAGGACAGCCTGCCTCGGTCCTCGCCACAGCCACTGGCAGAACGGGGCCTGGAACCAAGGTCTCCAGGCTCCTAGTCCCGCTCCGGCCGGGCAGGTCCACCAGCACACACTGCCACACCTGTCAGGCCCAGGTTCCTCTACGGTTTCCTCTCTTATTTCTTAACTTCTAGCCAGTGTGCTCGTGAGTTTCTCTTGGAACTCTGTGGTCAAGACTGGATGATGGGGTGAAACCCCATCGATCCTGATCCAGGAGCCGCTGTCACACAAGGGTGGGACTCCCAGCAGAAGGCCGCTGGCAGGGAAGGCAAGACACACTGCCAGAGGCCCCGGAGCAGGGGTCTGCCTGAGGAGGAAGCAACCCTGCCATTTCTGGGTCTGGGGTCCGGGTGGGGAGGCGGCAAATGCTCACAAAGAGGGACCTGAGAGCTGTAAGGTGTTTTTTCTGTCAGACTCAGAACTCTGAACAGGAACCGGAAGGCAGGGAGCAAACTGGGGTTAAAAATGCAACATGGCACTGACGTTGACAAAGAAGGGGACGATCAGCATGACGATGGCCAGTTTCAGGTCTGGGTTTTCAATAGGATTCAGTAGGGCCACCTGCAAGGAGAAGCAGATGCAGTGAGGTGGGAGAAGCCACAGAGAAAGTGCCTGGAACGAGGGCGGAGGGAAAACCCCATGAGGCTCTGAGAGGGGGACTCGGCTTAGACATTCACCCGAGCACCTCATGCCCAGGGCTGCGCAGTCCCCAGGTTTGACTGCTGTGAGGGACCCCCTCAGAGACCACTCGGAGCAGCTAGTGCTTCAGACTTGGGGAGTGAGGTCATTATAGATTCTGACCACTTTCTAACAGAAATCCTGTACCCCAACCACCTCCTGAAGGACAACAGCTCTAAAAAGCCTTGGTTTATTTTCTTAAAAAGTAAAGCCCAGCCACAAATAAAGCCAAAGGATGGCCAAGCTACTTGTTTCCAAGGCCCCTCTGGCTGGTGTCATGTGGGCACACGGAGCGGGTGGGCTGCGGCGGCTTATCTGCACAGGGCGGGGGCCGGGGCAGAGCACGGGGCTGAGGGGCCCGGGGAGCCGCCTGTGACCAGCTGGTGCATGTGGCACCTGAAGGCAAGGCTGAAGCACTGGCCTAGACAGGTGTGTGAAGAAAACATTTGCAAATGTGAAGAACACCTGCCTGGCATTTACAGTTGCAAGGCATGAGACTAGTATCAGACAGGACTGTATTTTCATTGAATTTATATATTCCTTTGGCTTAATCTAGAGCAGACACTTGTGTCTTTGAAATGGATGGTGTAAAAAATTGACTAGTTACTCTCTTGGCAGGTAGCCAATAAATAGGTGCCACATCAAACCAACTCCACTTTGTGTACATGGAGTTAAAAAACAAAACAAATTAAGAAATTACGAAGTTGGTTTCCCAATAGGGTTGAGGTTGGGGGGTGGAAAGGGCAAAGTGCTGTCTTAGCATCCCCAGGAGCTAATGAAGGGGAGACAAGAGGCAAACCTTCTTCCACTGAAGTATGAGAAGGACGATGAAGACGACAGACTTTTCAAAGACCATGATCACGATGTAAAGAGCACACTGCCCGGCCCAGGCGCCGCACTGCACAGGGTCTCCTGCAGGGGAGGACACCCAGTCACATGCAGCTCGGACCCGGGTCAGACTGAGGCCCCACCCCAACCCGCCCCCACAGACCCCGAGGGCCCTCACTCCCCTGCCCCACACCACAGCCCTGGCTCCATAGCTACTGAACAAGCCCCCAAAGCACCAAGAACCAGCTCAGTCCGTGCAGACTAATGTGGGTGGGTGTTTTAAACAAAATCAGAAAATTCCTAATTTGGAGATACCAGAGTGGCTTTTCTTTCAAGAGATTCTAAGATATAATCAAAAAGCACTAAAGTTAGTAAGTGCCTATTGCTGGCGCTCAGAAGAGCTGGTGCTTTTTGTCCGCTGGCAGCAGAAGCTGTGTTAAGCAAGACTGCTATTATTACCCACTGTTGGTTTTTCCATGGACTGCGCTGCTGTCCGCCCTCCCCCACCCGGGCGCGGCCGATGTTTTTGAATTATGAAGGCAGCAACAACCTCCTTGTTCCCCCTCACCCCCTCCTTCTCCTCCTCCCCCTTCCTGCTGCCTCAGCCCTGAAAGCAGAAATCTGACTCTGGAGGAATTCAGATTCTGTCTGGGGTAGAACCCCCCCAAAACACCTTGGAATGGGGACAAGGAAGAAAAGTCCTCAAGGCAAGGAGTGATGGGCTGTGCCTCGGGGTGGACAAAGGCCTGTGATCCCGTCAGTCACTGTGCTTGAGAAATGGAGGCACCACCAGCCCACGCTGAAGGACACCAGGCCCTGAAGTGCGTCCAGAATGTTTCAAAGGGGACTTGATGAAGGGTGGAGGACCAGCCCCTCCAGGGATAGGTCTACATCTTCAGTGACAGGAAGAACCCCCAGGCTGGTGCCCCTGGGGGGCAACACTCATCTCCCTAGTGGCAGGCCCAGGGGAGAGTAGCAGGGAGAGGGGAGGCTGCTGGGGCTATCTGGCCACAGCTGGCCAGAGGAGGGGGCAGACAGCAACATTCATGGCAGGCAAAGGCCCCAGGCCAGGCTGGGAAAAGAATATGTCCCATAGAGAAATCTCCGGCTTCTCATCTGCTGCTACGGCCAGTCCCGTCCAGGCACCAGTGCCGTGGCCCCCAGCCCCGCCAGAGCCTGCCACTGCAGCCAGTGGAAGCACCAGGAATGCCTTCAGGCAGCAGTAATGGACACAACACCAGGCCATTCCCTTTTCTGGAAAACTTCGGGAGAAGTGTGCAGAAAGCACACAGGGAGGCATTGCTGCTTCTTCTGAGGCCGTCTACTTTCACTTCGGGGACAACTCGCGTTTGAGCCAACAAGTCATTTCAGAAGCACAATCTCTCCCAGCTGGATTTTCAGTAGCATTTTGTAACTCTTTCAGTACACTATCTGACCTTACTGAGAAAAGTCCTCAAAAACAACAGATCAAAATATTTGTTAAAAACTGTTAAGTAAGGTTGGGGACAGACAGAGAGTACTGGTGGGGAGTATTGATGAGTCGGGACTGGCGTGTTTAAAAGCCAACAGACCAGGCGGCAACACTTCTGCAGCACCAAGAGGAAGCCTGCGTGCGCAGGGTGTGCACTCCCTCTGCTCTCCACCAGAATGGCTGCCAAAAGGGGAGATGCTTCCCCCTGTGCCTCCTGCTGCTCACACTGCTGTGTTTCGGAGCCACAACTCAGCTGCAGCTGCCTCTGTTTTCATTTTGATGCTTTAATAAGGAAGTTAAGGGAAAAAAAAACACAGCGAAAAAGGAAAAAATCAAGTGTCACCCACTTGCGCGCGCACATTACTTCCTCCTGTGCACCCAGACCATGTGTGGGGACGGCTGGAATGAAGGCACAGGTGCTGGGTTTTCTCATTTCTGTTTCATGTGAGAGTCTTGTGTTCCCCATGGTCTCATCTTTTAAGGTCAAACAAGCCGGACATTCGTGCTGTGTCCGCTTCTTACCACACGGGATACCCTCAGGTGCACAGGGGCTTTGTTTTGTTGAATTACTTCCTCAGGATAAATCGCAGGCATAGGAGCTGAAGGGAGGGAGTGTGCCTGTATCCAGAGAGGCTTCCCGGGGCAGTGTGAGGACAGGGACAGGCAGCAGGCCCGCAGACCTCGGTGCCCGCGGGACACAGGCCTGCTTCTAGGGCTTCTGCTGGGCGACGAGCAGCCTGTCACCACACAGCAGACACCACGTGTCGCCTGGATCCTGTCCTGCCCCTCGGGGCTGTGTGGCATTCCCCAAGTCCCGTGTTCTTGTTAGCAAGTCCACCTCTTCTTCTAGGGACCATGGAAGCACCTAGAACACACTCCCCTCTCCTTCATTTACCTGAGAAGGGGCCTACGTGGAATTATTGCCTCAAGCAGATGAGGTGGTTAATAGTTGCGGCAGGTAGCGTAATGGCCCCACAGAGAGAGCCACACATTAGTCCCCAGAACCTGTGGATGTGTCAGGTAACATGCCAGAGGGGGACAGAGGGGAATGAAGGTTGCTAGTCTGCCAACTCTAAGACAGGGAGAGTCTCCTAGAGTATCCAAGGAAGGCCAAGGTCATCGCAAGGCACTTCAAGTAGAAGGAGGTGGTAGAAGGCCAGGGCGATGAGGTGGGAGAGGAACTCAACCTGCTGTTGCTGGCTCTGGGGCCGGAGGAAGGGGCCCTGAGCCAAGGAACACGGGCAGGCTTAGGAGCTGGCAGAGGCTAGAAATGGCTTCTGCCCTCGGAGACTCCAGAAGGAACTAGTCCTGCCAACACCCTGATTTTAGTCCACGAGACCCATGTTGGACCTCTGAATTACAGAGCTGTAAGATAATCAATTTGTGCTGTTTTAAACCACTAATGTTGTGATAATTTGTTACAGCAAATAACAAAATTATTTGGAAACAAAAGAAATTGGTAGAAATAAAAATCAGGTAACTGGGGACGCACACTATCCTTCCCCAACCTGGGGTGGGAGAACTCGGGATGGTGGTCCCTGGGAAAGGTCAGCTTCAGCAGGAGGCGCCCTGTCTCGGGTGCCAATGGCAGAGGCAGATGGCCCAAGGGCAAGGGCCAAGGCAGGCCTGACAGCTAAGAGGAAGGGGGCGTGGAAATAAGAGAGTCAAACAACCATTGCCTTCTGCCTTTCGATCTACTCTTGGGGGTGCGGAGAAAATACACTGGGAGCAGATGGTTCCACGCTGCTGGTGTATTAGGACCAGACGTGATCTCCACTCCCAGGTCACGGACTGGCATGCAACTGGCTGTGGGGTGGACTCCCTTGGCACTGGCCAGCTATAGGTGAGCTAAAAGCGCTGCCTTCCAGAAGGGATCTTAACAGCAAAGAAGTAGTTACGAACACTGTTTCTGGAGGTGATGGGAGGATCAGGAACCCACTGCAGCAGCCACAAGCAACTCCCCACCCCCACCCTGGCAGTGCATTCGCTGAGTGAGCTTCCTGCGTCATGCAGCCACTCTGGGTGCCTCTCCTATAAACGAAGATGATGCCGCTGTGGTCAGTGTGCGCTGTGGTCCGTTTCCGTCCCCTGAGCTGAGGAGTCAATGACTTGGAGCTCCTCAGGAGCCTCCCCGGAGCCCCAGGAGCACGTGCTGTGTGTCAAACACTATCTTAAGTCAGTGACTCATCAGGCATCAAGTGACGAGGCTAAGAAAAGCCCTCCCTGAGCTCATCTCCCCTCAGTGGAGACAGACAACTACTAAAATTTCTAGAAATACCTCAGGCGCTCCCAGCTGGCTCCACGAACTGGCTCCCCTTTACCAATGTCAGTCCCTGCTGAGTTCCACCATGTAGGAGTGAGCAGCGCTTGGGCCCAGCACAGGAGGGCAGGGAGCCAGAATTCCACCCACTTTCTTTCCCTCTCAACCTGTGTGCACCTTTCTTGGCGAAGGTCCCACCTGTGCTGCCCCCACTGAGAAACAGCCCCATCCTGCAGACAGCAGGGCCAGCTGTGAAGGTGGGAGAGAGCTGCTGTCCCCCTAAACCCTGAGGCCTGAATCACCAGGCGATGGTAAGACCCAGAGACGGCACCTCTCACCGGCAGCCCTGCTGAGGCCACATCTGGCCATTTTTCTAGGAGGACAGAGTAGAAGGTGCTGCATTTGTGCCCAGAACCAGCGCACAGGTAGCTTCCTGCCTGAGCTGTATCCCACGGGGTCTGACCAGATGTGCGGGGTCAAAGCTGGGCCAGCATCTGTAAGTTGCTTAAGTTCTACCTCTGTGAGTGAGGCTGGAACTGGTGTCCTTGGTGACTACGTGTGTCAGCTGCTGGCTGGGGGGCCAGCCCATAGTTAGGAGGCAGCAAAGCGACTTGGTCCCAGCGGGATGGACCCTCCCAGTCCTGACTTTCCAAGTCCCAGTAATAAAACGGCCCGAACACAGGACAAGTACAGACATGCAGTACAGAGGGGCAGCTCCCCACTGAGCACCTCCCAGACCAAGAGTCACCCCCATCTCTCTAATGAGGTGGGGCCTCATTAGAGTCTCCCCCTGTAGGTGGGGCCACCAACGCCCTCTGGTGGAAGAGGCGACATTGTTCCCCCTCCCTGCATCTAGGGTGTCTCCTGCTACCAAGGCAGGAGCCAAAGTGGTGAGGCACGCACCCACAGGCCTTGGACGTGGGGCACTTTGACACTAGCAAGAGGATGGCGCTCAGGCCCCAGAACAAGCTCCTTCACTACAGAAGAGACACCCACCAGCTCCTGAACCTTCTCTGCATCCAGGCCTGGAGGGCTGTATGGAGCGAGGAGCAGAGCTCCCTCCAGGAATCCCCCTCCATGCCCCGTTCAATGTCCATGGTACGTTACCATATTCACCAAAACGCAGGGACTCCCACTGCTGCCACTCCACCAGGACGCTGATGGCACGCACACCCACGTAGATGAGCAGCATTCCCACGGTGGCGTCCAGGAGGAAGTTGATGAGGTACCTGTGAGGAGAGGGCACGGTGGCATGATCAGGGAGCACCACCAGAGAGCAAGAGCCCCTGAGTCGGGCCCTGTGTGCTTATCAGTGCCAAGGTCAGGGCTGATGACCGGACAATTTGTTTGGCCGTGTTCAGGGGGAGTGGGGGGATTGGGGGCTTGTGATGTGCCTGTGCAAAAGGCCGCAGTGCTCACCTCTGTGAGCCCCAGTGAGGCCTCCCCACACAGTGTGTGGACACTCTTCAGGGGCTGGACAACTTAGGGAGGGGTGCAGGAGAGAAACAAACTTGAAAGACCACAAGTGTTCCTGCCCTAAGAAGACGCAACACAAGACAGAGTACCCGGAAGCAGCCACGCAAGCCAGCAGGGAAACAGAACTGATGAAAAGACCTGCTGCTCCATGTCAGTGCTGCTGCACCACAGCAGCTCAGGGAGTGGCCTGGGCTTCTTAGACCAAAGAGGGCACGGCCGCATGGCCCTCATTCATCCCTGTGCTTCCAAGCCTGCCATGGAGGCAAGTGCAGGTCAGTGCTTCTGAAGAGAGAGCTTTACTTCCCACGGAAAAGGCACAATCACAGAGGAAGGGGAGGAGGAGAGGCAGAAGTGCATGCCCACCATGACTGTGTGTTTTCATAAGCTCTGTTTCCACCTGCCTGACACACACTCCTCTCCTTACCAAGGAAAGGGCTCTGGCCCATTGGCCCCCTCTTGAAGGCCCTGTACCAAGATCTCACTGGGTCCCACTGAGCACAGGCCCTAACTCTCCAAAGAGCAGGAGACAAGCAGTCACTAGGTCAGGTTCTAGCCCTCTCAGATGCCACATGGCTTAGAATCTCCCCAGAGTAGCTCCGGACACCACAGACCATGGACCACCTGCAGTGCTTTCTAGATACTGAGGCTTCAGGCATTTTATGCAGTCAGCCCCCAACCCAAGGCCCAGACTTTGACGAGGGGCATAGCCCTTGGACACCAGAGGGTGCACACTCTGCTCTGTGGGGTCAGGGACCTGGAGTGGCAAGAAAACCAAAGGGAGGAACAGCATTTTCTCCCGCCTGCCCTTCCTCTTTAAAATCACAAGGGGTCACTCTCAGACCAGATATGGAAGGAATAGCAACTGCTTTCAGATCTTTTCTCCACGGTCACTGCTGGGCTCTGGCCCCAGGCGATGCTGTTCTCAGATACTTACATCTAATTGGTTTCAAGTGGTTCTCACATGTGAGCCCCATCCTAACACACAGACAGGCGTACCTCAGTTTATTGTGCCTTACAGATGTTGATTTATTTTTTTTTTTTTACAAATTGAAGATCTTCCACTAGCAAGATTACCACACACTTTATTGTGATACTTGCTTTGTTGTGGTGGTCTGCATCAGAACCTGCAATACCTTGGGTATGCCAGCACGTGTGTTAGCTCACTCATTCCCCCACCAAATATTTATTTGAGCCTACAGTGTGCTGGGCCTTGGGATAGAGAGAGAATGCTCTGTACTCTGAACCCAGCGCAGGTGAGATGCCAGGGATGACAGCTCAGTATCATATGGGCCCAGCAGCCAGAATGGCTGAGTTCAAATCCCAGCTCCATCACTTGTTAGCTGTGAGCTATATAATTTCTCTGCCTCAGGTCCTCAACTACAAATGAGGACAATCCGAGTATCAGTATTGCAGGGCTGTTTGAGGATAAAATGAGTCAATAAATATAGACAGCACCTGCCACACAGGAAGCAAGCACTATACCCCACTGTGTTCTTAGAATCACAGACCCTCAGCGTCACCGAACCCTGGATGTCAAAAAGCTCAGCTCACACCCAAAGCAGCGTTCCCAGCACAGGGGACCCCTGATGCCACCCACAGGAAGCAGCTCATCCCCCTCTGTTTGTAAGTTTCTCCTCTTCTAGGTTTGCAGACTCCCAAGGTGCAGACCTAGAAGACCTAGGTCCAACACAACCCTGACTCCCTCTGTAAAAAGTCACAGAGCAAAGCAGTGGTGGGCTGGATAGACCCCAGTGTGGCACCTGTCCTTCCTCAAGGAGCAGCGCCTCTCACAACCCAGAGAGACACCTGCTCCCCTCCTCCTCTCCCACCGAGTGGCTCCTGAACCTGCTGCTGGAGCTCTTGAGTCTTCCCGACGTTTTAATGACAGTATCCTCCATCTGCACTATTAACATCTTCACTGGGAAGCACCCCTGCTGTTTTCAATGGCACTGTCCTCACCATCTGATGAAACCTTTGGAGTGATCCCAAGGACCTGGCAGGACACACAGGACAGAGGCAGGAACTGAGGCTCAAAGAAGTTAAGCCACCTTCCCACAGTCTGGCCTCTCGGTCACCACCTGACATTCATCTTGAACCTTTTCTTCTCCAGGCCCAGCACTTACGATCTGTCAACAGCTCCTTCTCTATCCTGGTTGTGATGCAGTGTGTCAATGTCCTGCTTAAAGCTGTATCATTCATATCTCTCTTTCTTTCTTTAGATATTATTTATTTTTAAAGAGGGGGGAAGGGAGGGAGAGACAGAGAGAAACACTGATAGGTTGCCTCTTGCATGTCCCCAATCGGGGACCTAGCCTGCAACCTAGGTATATGCCCTGGCTGGGAATCAAACTAGTGACCTTCTTGTTTGTGGGATGATACCTAACCCACTGAGCCACACCAGGCAGAGCCATAACCATCTTCCCTCTGTGAATGCAGGAACCTTGATGTAGCTAAGGCTATACCAGGAACTAGGCTTTCTCGCCCCAGCGCCTCTGGGGTGCAGAGCTGGCTCTGAGACTATCTCGGCCAGCAACATCAAGATGATTCACCGGAAGATGACATGAACTTGCTGCTGGGCTCAAGGACTGAAAGGACGAGGCGCTTCCCTAACCATCTCCCCTGTGAGACCATCACCCTCTGGTCCCTGCTTTGGGGTTGGACATAAACATTCAAACAGATCACAATCTATCCAGGTCTTACTTAAGGGGAGGCCCTGGGGAGGAGACCTCACAACTTCTTAAGTATGGACCTAGACTACATCTAAAAACTGCATACTATCACCCAAAAAGAGAAGCTTAAAAGAATCTTCCAGTCCAAGTGATCTTAAATACATCATAGACCTCTTGGCAAGGGGCTCGCCAGCCTTCTGCCCCACTCTCCTACAGAGGCAGGGCAGGCTGGAGGGCATTTCAGGCAGAGGGACACGGACAAAGGCACAGGGGCAGGAGACAGCGGCAGGTTTGAGAGCCACCAGGAGTAGCCCACCACGGCTGAAGTGCCAAGTCTGAGCCAGGAAGGAGCAAGATGGGGTCAGGGGAAGGCAGATGAGCCTCCTCTTCCACTCCATCTGCTAAGCTAGGCACCATTTGGGGGCTGTCAGCAGGGGGCACTGCATATCATGGCCCCGCTGGGGTTTCAGGCAGGCTGGTCCGGGGGCTGTGTGGAAGGCACACTGCACTGACAGGGTGGAACAACTCCTGGTCTTTGGGTCAAGAGGTCAATGCTAGTCAATAATGGCTTTGACCCTGAGTGGCTGACACCACAGAGAAGCCCCATGTGTGCTGTTCCAGCAGAGACAGACACTCCTTCATGGCATTATGCTGCCCAGCCAGGAGCTGCTTTGAAGCTGTAGATGTAGGGTACTGACAAACCAAGACACAGAACTCTGATTGGTTGGCAGAAAGCCAGCGCACAGGACCACTGTCACCAGGTGTCTGAGCTCAGAGGCAGCACACATGGGATGGGCTCTCGGAGGAGCACAGAGGACAAAGGCAAGCCGCCCCACCCCCGAGCTGGAGGAACGGGGCTGCCGCAGGCAGCCAGGCCAGCCTCCATCTCCAACCATGGGGCGGGGGTGTTAGTACTCAGACAGGAATCACTTACAGGGAACAAGGGTCCTCTTCAGTGAGATCTGCTAGGTACACATTTGCAAAGTGGATGAACAGCATTCCTATGGCTTGTTTAGAAGTGTCTAAAAACCTGTACAAAACAGAATCAGCACTTGTGAGCACACTGACAGGAGGGTAATATTCAATTTAGTGAAAATGTTACATTTGAAGTAGAAAAAAGCCACTGGGAGATCTCAACTTCCAATTACCGGCCACCTCTCCCCCAGGCCTCAGTACTACCATATTTTGCCATGTATAATGTGCACACATGTTTTTGACCTAAACTTTCAGGAAAAAAATCTTCCATTTCAATTTTTTAGTTCAATTTTATTTATTTATATTTAGATACTTGTTTTTTGGTATTATAAAGGAATTTTAGCATTTATTTTTGAACATATTATGGTACAAGAAATTTTCTATAACAAATAACTACAAACACATGAACAGACACAAGGTGTTTCAGGCATTACCCAAGTAGAATGTGCACCCATATTTTTCCCTCAAAAATTTGGGCAAAAAAGTACACAGTCTACATGGCAAAATACAGGTAATTCAGGCTTGGCATTTCAGCTACCTTTCAAAAGCTTCAATAATATTGCATTAAAGTCCCTAAAAGACCACTGATTAATAACATACAGCATGGGCAAAAGTAGGCTTACAGCCGTTCATATGGAGCATAGTACAATAACAAATAAATAATAACACAAGAATAAACTCTGTTTTGCCTATTCACAACTGTAAACCTACTTTTGCCCCACCCTATATGTTTAAACACACTAAACACACATTTAAAATATGTTTCGCTTGTTCATTTCTTTGTTACTTCAAAATGAAATGCTCGATCCCAGCTTTGTGATGGAGTGCGAGGTGCCTGTTTGAGACAGCGCGGAGCTGAGGAAGTGATGTGCGAAGCTAACAAGACCTGCACAGATCCAGGGTGGCAGAGGAAGGCCCGAGCCGCTGTCAGCTGCTGCCATCTAACAGTGGGCCGGATTGGGGGTGGCAACCTTTTGGTGTTAAGGGTCAGAGAGGAAATGTTTCAGACTCTGTGGACCGCTGTTCTCTGTAGCAATTACTCAGCTCTGCCACTGAGCCTAAAGCAGCCACAGCTCCCGCCACCCCTGTACACTGGATCCATAGAAACACAGTGAGCCAGGCCAACCCGTGAACTAGTGAGCAATTGCCTGCCAAACCCTGGGCTAGATGACAGGAGTTTCAAAAAGGAAAAAAACCAAGGTCACTAGTGTTTGGGACACCCTGTGTCATTTCCTCCACCCGCGCCCATCCGCATCATAGGAACATGGTGAAAATGTAGGGCCTTCGGTTTCTCCACTGCCCCGAACACCTAGAGACAACCTGTGGTTTGTGGCTGAGGAACCTTTGAATTGCGGTCATGTCTCCGGGGCCGCAGGCTGAGCACCCAGAGCGGGGCAGGGCCACTGAAGGGGGTGCTGAAAGGGCCCACAGGCAGGGGACATCAACCATGGGGTCTCAGGACTGGAACAGACCTTAGAGATAATCCAGACCATCCCTGTGATCGAGGCTTGAGAACCGGTTCCTAAAATCATGGCAAAGTGGGAGTCACCGAAGGGCGACGTGTGTGAAACACAGCCCGCCCCAATTCTACGCCCTCCCTAGGTGTCCCCCTGGCCCAAGCTCAAAACCCGGATTTGAGAGAAACCGATTAGGAGAAAGTAAAAAGAGAATTGTGAACATCTAGAAATAATACATTAAAGATCAATCAAGGACGTACGTAGCATTTTATAAAGAGGCCTTTATCACAGGGGTGTATGAGAAGTTTTCTCGGGGGGGAAATGGCTGTTCTGTGAGGGCGGGCGCCAGCCTGAGGCGGCCCCAGAGAGACGGCTTCCTGTGCACATCATGTCGTCCTGGAGAGCTGCTCGTCTCCTTGCAAGTGACTCCTTACTTTTTGGAGATTTATGTATAGAAACAGTGTCTGAAGGAAGGAAAACCTGCCACCCTAGGGTCAACCTAGGAACAAAAAAAGACTAGTTTTGGGGAGAGGAGCATTTACACAGTGTATTTGACTACTCTTCAAATTTAGGTTATTTTTTGCACATGCATACAGACTACAGAACTCGAGGCGTTAACATAATCACACAGAGCCTTAACTAAAGGAGGCTGGAGCACTGTGTTATGTTCCATCTTCTAAACTTGAACACCAGGGTGATGACAGAATAAAGGTAGACTCAACATTTACCTGAGAAATATAAACTCTTCCGTATAATACACAGTCAAACACATTCTAGGAATGAGGTAATACTGTATGCCTACCATATCTTCCACGGACGTCTTTCATGCTTTGGTTCTCTGAAGCGTTTGACTGAAAGAAAAGACAGACATTCAGTAGCTTTCCACAGTGATAATAAAGCAAAATGCATATAACAAGTTGAGTTTACAACGTCAGGCGAAGGTGCTTGCTCTTTTACTACGTGACAAGGCACAATAACACAAGGGTCCCAGAGGCCCTCTACTGCTGCCGACCAGTACAGACTCTTCCGCACTGGGCACTTAGGAAGAATGACTCCTCCCAGTGTGTGGAAAATTGCATTTTCCTTTCTCTGTGACAAGGCTCTCTGAGGCAGGGACTGGGAACCACAAGATGGGATGTAGCTACTTCTCACTTGAGGATATGCTCTGCCCAACAACTAATCCACCCACGCACCCAGAGGTTCACTGGGTGCTGCTCCCAGCCTGGCACTGAAGAGACTCAGGCAGGAGGGCAGGCACATAACCACATGCGTGGCAAGTGCTAGAGAAGAGGTGAGTCTGAGGCAGAGTGAAGGCTCAAGGGAAGGATGACCAGCCTGCTCTCCTGGAAGAAGGGTGCCAGTCAGGAAAGGCTTCCCTGATGAGGTGAAGGTACTGTGGGCTGATGAGGTGGAAGCTGAGATGGACCAGGGAGGAGAGAGAGCTGCAGTCTGGCAGAGCACACACCATGAGCTCATAGGTACAGGGACACAATGTGGCAGTCTGGCATAAGTTGACTTGACTTTGATACAGCGGGTAACAAGGGAGACAGACTGAGCAGGGGCTACATGAGGGAGGGTCCTGAATGCTAGGGGAAGGAGTCTGGACTGAATCCTGCAGGGGAAAAAAAAGACGAAAGGTGCTAAGCAAAATCAAAGACATGGTGTGAATCGTGTTTTAGAAAAGTGGCTCTGAATTGGGTTCCTGGGGGTGAAGAGGACTGAGGGAGGACGCCGGCTGTGTCTCGGCACCAGGCAGAGGTACTCCCAGTGGCAGAACAGCCAGCACGCTGGGTGCTCATTCAGCAACAGCCCGACCTCGGAGGCAAAGGACTCCCCAGACTGACACCGTCACCTTGGGCCTGCAGACACATCCATTAGAACAGAGGGAAACAAAAAGCTTCTTAGTGTCCTGTCTTCCACTGACGCTCCAGGCAGACTGTTTCCACGAGGATTCTATCTACTAAAACAAGCATGGGAAGTGTGCGTGTGTGATGTTTTCCCACACAAAGTACAGAGGAAGCAGCAGATCGGGAGGCAAGCCCAGGGAGGATGCCATGTTCCCACTGGTGGCAGCAAAGAGTCAACTTTGGCAGAGTCCCGAGCTGCTGAAGTGCGTGCGGGAGCAGGAGCAGGCAGACGGGGAGGGAGACAACGGCCCCCACATTAACAAACCCTGCTTCTCTAGGTGAACATGGGCAGTCTGCATTCTGCAAAGCAAGGCTGTCTGTACACAGAAATGAAGTCAGTCTGGTGTTTAGAGAGACATTTTGATAGAAACCAAAATGCAAGTGGAATTGTAAGATGGTGTCATTCTGTTGACACATCACACATGCAAAACATCAACCACGCTGAAGAATCTGGAACTGAGGCCAAGAGGTTCTGCTCGCACAAACGGCTCTCCAGGCAGTAGGCCTCCTCCCCACGAGCACCCACGTCTCTCTGAGCGGCTGGGGTCTCGGGAAGGAGGGGTGGAGGTTGCGGAGCCAGCACAAAACCGTGTGGAAGGGAAGCCTCCAGTCAGGGCTGGAGCCCCGTCATCCTGTCTGTTGTTCTGCCGCAGAGGAATCTGCCCCCATCAGCACAACACAAAAGACATCAAAACGCGTCCCAAGGAGAAGTTCCCCCTCCCTTAGGAGATACACGCTGAAGTATCCGAATGGCTGCAATTTACTGTCAAATGGTGTAGGAGAAAAACTATATAAGCCATAATGATATATAATACACATATAAATGGCATAATTATAATACATCATATTCTATGTTATATTAATATGACATATACTATATAGAGAGAAGCAAATGTGGTGTTATGGCCAAATCATGTGTCCCCTCCCAAGTCATATGTTGAAGTCCGACCCACCCCAGTACCTCAGAATGTGGCTGTGTTTGGATACAGCACCTCAAAGGAAGTGACTAAGGTAAAATGAGGGCATACGGGTCTCCTCAACAAGAGATGAGGACACTCACAGAGACTGAGGGGGAACCATGCGAGCACCCAGTGAGAAGGCGGCCATCTGCAGGCCAGAGACAGAGGGGAGGCCTTAGAAGGAACCAAACCTGCAGACACCCAAGACCTGGGACTTCCGGCCGCCAGAACTGTGAGCAAGTAAGTTTGTTGTTTGGGTCATCCATCTTGTGGTATTTTGTGATGGTGGCTTTAGCAAACTAGTACATGTGGCAACAGTAATTGGTGAACCTAGATCAAGAATATTGGGGTATTCCTTAAATTGTTAGACTGTTTGGTTAGTCTAACACTTTTTGTAATAAAACGCTGGGAGGAAAACATTCTAGAAGAATGCACTAGGGTGGCCATTCGGGGGCCAGCTGGCAACATCTATCAAAATTGTGCCTGCGCAGGCCCCTTTAACCTGCCAGGTACGTGCTCCACAGGTGTTACTACAACTTGTGCTGAGATGTACAGGGAGTTTCACTGTAATATTGTCATAACAAAAGACCCAGAGAGAAACCATTGCCTGTCAACACACGTCACAGCGCAACACAACACGAGGCGGTCACTAAAAACAAGGTGAATCTGTGTGAGTTAATATGGGAGGAATTCCAAGTTATATTAATTGCAGAGCAACATGCCTACCATGATTCTGTTCATATCCATTTTAAAGGATATATAGTTATGCTCTGGCACCATGCACGCTTTTTTCCCCCTAGAAGGATACAGGAACATCAATAAGGGCTACCTTTGATGAAAGGAATTATCAATTGGGGGGTAGACCTTTTATGTCATTGTGAATGGTTTAAAACATTATTCCACATTCACATTGCTTTTATTTCAAAAATTCAAAAATAAAAGACAAACCTGTGTCAGAGACTTGCACTAATGTAGCAGAGTGGGACATGGGAGAAGCAGAGTGGCCCACAGCTGGGCTCTGGACAAGTGAGGGGAAGGATGGAGCGTGTGTGCCACTCGTGCGCAGGCAGCAGCCCCCGAGACAGAATTCAGGCTGGATTCAGATTCTGCTCAAGAGCAGAAATGGGGCTCCTGCCATCTACCACCCGCTTTCCCTAGAGTATGTCAGAGTCTAAAAGTCTTTTGTTTTTAATTAAAGAAGAAACATTAAAAGAGTTTTTCTATACCTAATGTGGTAGGAGAAAAAAACCCAGAAAAATTCATTTGTCTGTCTCGTCATTTTTATTGAAGGGCCTGCTGCCTGACAGGCCTGTTTGGCTGGAGATGAAACACAGACTCCTCACCGTCCTCACATTCTGTTGGGGGTGGCGGATATGGAGTGTGTCAGACTGTGCCAAGTGACACTAAGGCAGGAGAGAGGGCTGGGAAGTGGGGTTTGGCACTGCGGATGAGGGGCTGTGGATGAGGAGGTCCGGAAGGGGAAGAGAAGGGGTATGTGAGACAGGAGGGCCAGGGCAAGGCCCCGCCTTTGCCTGCCCTGACCTGGGGAGGCAGCAGCATGGCTGTGGCCCACAGCCACACAGGCTCACTGCAGGCTCAGCGCAGCTGCTGTGCTGAGAGTAGCCTGAGGGGGTACCGGTGGAAACAGTGAGACCAGTTAGAGACCACCAAACAAATCCAGGGCCGAACAACAGGGGGCTGGGCTGGGACGGCAGCAGGGGAGGGTGCTGAGCGGCCGGATCCGGTTGTATCTAGAACACTGCACTGACAGGGTTTACTGACAGCGTGGTTGTGGGCGTGAGAGAACAGCCAGGAAAAGCTACTCCAGAGGTGGGAATACGCACTGTCCCCTGCATTTCTTTTGTTTTGGTGGTGGCGGTGGCGCTTGGGTGGCGTCAAACTGGGGAGACACAGACCTCTCTGCAGGTGAGAAACATAACTGCTGTCCGAGCGCCTGCTGACCGGGGCGCCAGGCCACAAATGGAAAGTTCACGGAGCGGCTGGGGCACAGCCCCAGACAGCTGATCTTTTCAGGACAGACGACAGACAGTGCTTCTACAGGATGGAGGGAACTCAGACTGAGCACGAGGCCAAACAAAGCGCAATCCATCCTCTCTGACATTTACTTCTACAACGCGCGTCCCGGAAGCGGGAGGCTGGCGGAGGAAGCAGCAGGAACAGTGCAAGTGCAGGTCACAGGGACACCAGAGGGGAACCCGAGGCTGCCGGGGCAGTGCCTGAAAGGGCCCCTGGGGGGAAAGGAGGCGGGAGAGTGTAGCACACAGCTTGTTTCACTCCTTAATGGCGCAGGGCACCACCGCCTCCAGGAGGAGCAGGCTGCTGAGCAGGCTCTGACTTCGTGCACACACGTCCTGAGGGCAAACAGGGGGTCCAGTCACCCTTCCAAGGGAGCGGTGTGGTCCAAATCCAGGCAGACATGGCTTGGGGTCCTGTCTCTGCTATTACCTAGCTATGTGTTAAAAATGAGGGGCTGGAAGTGTGCAGCTACGACCTGTCAGGCTGGCATCAGGGTTAAACGGGAGCCAACAAGGGAAGGGGCAGGCACAGAACCTGTGCTCAGGCAAGCAAACCACACCCTGCGTCCCTGCCCTGGACCCTGTTTCCCTCTCCTCTCTGTGTCTACTCTACCCAGTCCAGGGCTGAGATACCCCATCCCAGGCTCTGGTCTCTAAGAAGTTTGTGACCTTGGGTCTGCCAGTGGCAACCTGATTCTCTACCCCTTCCTGTCATACCTGCAGGCAGGTGGGGGGAGCGGGGCTGGAATGCTAATATAAGGGGTGCAGAACAAGGTTCAGAATGGGATGTAGGCTGAGAAGCCCCCATGCCCCCCACAAGCCTAGCTGGGGGGGGGGGCTGGAAAAAGCAGCAGCACAACTATTGAAAATTATTTTGCATATCAATAATAGCAGGCTGGCTTCACCTTAATGCTGAATAGTCTGCCTAGGCCAGGGAGATGGGCAGGAC